CATGTCCTCTGGACAGTTTTACCCATCCTTATCTAGTTGTTTTCTTCATTTTTTTCTCCATAAGCATTTATTATCTGACCGTACCTTCTTGGGAACATTTATGAGTTTATCATGGCATGAGGAAGGTGAGAATATTTGTATAAAATACTTTTTATATGGAGGCTAAGGATTAATTTTACCTTTTAAAACATAAATCCTAAAGAATTCCTATTGACTCTTAATTATATTATGTTTTCCCTCGTCAAAATCCAGACATTTTTCTCTTTAGGGGAACAGAATCTGGTCCTCTATTTGATAATCAGAAAATCAAGGCAATAAACTTGAAGTTATTCCATGAACACATTCCAAACTGGGGGAGATGGCAGGGCAAAAGTACTGCTATCAAATTCCATTCACACTCACTACTTGAAAAAGTGCTCTGGAACCCATAAGGAACTCTACAGATTTGTTACGTTAATTATTTGTCTTTGTCATCATTCTGTGCAACTTCTGTTGACATTAGTATTGAATATGAAAGGTTGAGAAATAGAAAGGAAAATCTTGGCTCTCTTAATCCTTCGAATCCCCCTGAAATGAGGAGCAATCCCATATGATTATCCCAGAGCAGAGTTCATCCAGTTCACTTGGCAAAGTCCCCTCATTTGAATATTGATAGAGGAATGTATTTACATTTGCTTAGTTCTTTTTCATTAAGGTTAATACAACAAGACATCCCCTCTTGCTTTAGTGTCTGGTTTTCACAGATTTCTGGCCAGAGCCTCTTGTTTTCTCCCAGGGGTCCAAAGAAGTCTAAAACAAAGAGCACCCTCATAATTTTCCTGTTGCTGTCCCTCTGGGGTGGTGCTAAGGGTGAGGGGTCACTTGAAAGACACCTACTCACCTCCTGCTGCGCCCAGTCATTTCCCAGCCTCTGGCCTATTCCTTTGTTTAAGGAGAAAAGGGAAAGACATCAAATGCCCCAGTCACTTTTACATTTTCCCAGAAATAGAGGCTAATAAAGGAACCAGAAATTGCACATATATCAAGCACTCTGCTTCTTAGAAGTATCAAGGGCAAATAAAAGCTAAGATTCAATGCCCTTGAATCTCCAGTTCCCATGTACAGCTACGAAACAGGAAGCTCTGAGCTGGAAAGTGTATCATTATTATTAAATGGTTAATGGTAGAGAGTCAGAGCTCAAATCTTGGTCATCAGTTTCTGGATCTTCTGCTTGTTTTAACATGGACACCACCTCCCCTCTGGGATCACAGAACTCAAAAGAGAAGATATATTGCTAGTGATAAAGAAAATATCACCAAGTTCCAGCTTCTACTGCTGATGACTGCACACATCCATTGTCCTTGGGTGTGGGCTGATCTCTGCTTCAGAATAATCCGGATACATTGATGCTACCTGCTGTCCTCGGCCCACCTGGGCCCCCCTGGGGGCCTGCCCTCTGTGCTGCCTCATCAGAGACCTTCCCCGTTCCAGGGTGACTACAGAGGCTGGCCTTCCTTTGGCACATTTATCTTCAGCCCCCAGTGAACAAGCAGAGCACACAGTGGACTAACTCATTTATTTCTACTCATTTATTGATGGCCTTTCATAACCGAGTTATTAAGTCATCAATAACTTCAGAGAAATAAATGAATGGATCCAGAACTGGGCTGACAGATCTTTAAGACATACACTGAACATTTTATCTAAGATCAGCAGAAAAGTCAATGCTGGGTCATCAGTGGTATTTCCCTCACCTGGAAAAACATGTTCTATGTTTTATTCTAATTGGAACCTAGTTTATCTCTCTACAAAGTAGAGGAATGAATAACATCTTCAGTCTCCTGAGTAAATTAAAGTTTGAAAAATAGATTACACGTGTGACCATTTTTCCAAAATGCTACCTAGTATGTGTTGCTCTCATCAGCTGACAAAAAAAAAAACCTGCAAGATTTACCAGAAATTTAGTACAAGCCCTTTCAGGAGTGCTTATAAGTTCTGATGCATCCCCCATCAGGAGATAAAATAAAATAAAAGGGAGAGGGAAAAGGAAGAGAAAGGCAGTGAACGTTTCTAAGACCTTGGAAAAACCTCTGAAACTAAGAGTCTAGAGAAATTCCAAACACCGAAATTTCTGTAGGGACACTCAGCGAGCCGTCAGCAGCTCACCCAGCTGAGGGCAGCCGTTCATTTCATTGTCTTGGGGTACAGGTCGCTGCTCTCTCTCACCCTCCGTGAGCACTCCAGTATCCTGACCTCCCCTCCTGTTCAGATACCCATTTGCCCCAGTTTGCTCTTCACTGGTGCCCCATCTAAAATGACAGGAATCTTAGCTGCTGCTGAGAGGCCACAGGTGTGCCTGGAAACCTCTCTGTGCCCAGTTGCCTCAGTTTCCTCATCTGTAAAATAGGAATAATAATCTATGAAAAGCACTTAGAATAGTGTCTGGCCCATGATACGTTCAAGAGGTGTTAGCTGTTATTGTTGTTGTCATTAATGAAAATACAGTATTTTGCATATGATTAGGACCTCAGAGACCAGCCAGTCCAAGCTCCTTGATTCATTTCACAGATGAGGAAAGTGCAGCCCAAGCAGCCTGTCGTACAATGTGTGTGCTTTCCCATTAAAGACTGACTGAGACACTAGCAGAAAGAACAGCATCTTTGGAGTCCTGCAGTCCTGCACCCAAATTCCAGCCCTGTAGCTCTCTAGTTGGGTGACTTTGGACTCATCTCCTCCCTTCTCGGGGCCTCTCTATGTCCTCACTTGCAAAACAGGTATGGCACAATCTACCTTCATGGATTGTTATGAAAACTGAAAAAAATAATGACTGGATCATGTGACCAGCATGCGGCCTAGGAGTTAATGAGCATCCCATAGCTGGGGATTGTCAATACTACCCATGTCATTCAAGTGGGCTGCTCCAGACGAAAACAGGAATTTTCTTACACTCCTTTGCATTAGTTTTCTTCAATGACTATCTTGTCACTATCTTCTCAGTAGGTACTATCAGCTATCAAAAATTACCTGTGCCTCTTGATGGATAGAATTCTGTAAGTCCTTATTGTTCTTAAGAAAAGAGAGAGAGACAACTCCCCCACGCCTTTCTAACTAGTTTAGGGTGAACAGTTTTACTCTGCCAACTGAGCCCCAGCATGCTGACCTGTTTGAAAGATGGTGACTCAGAAGCAACTTGCAAATGTTGCAAAATGTGTAGCAGTGACTTTTCAAATTTGACACCTTTGTTCAAGTAGAAATGGCCACAGAAAGGTTCAGGGAACGATGGAAACTGAACTAGACACCCTGGTTTCCTTTTTGTGAACATATGATGAATAAATTTTAAGTCTACATAACAGAGCATGGTACTCTGGGTCTCTCAGAAAACAGATCTGCATAACTCTAATGTCCATGAAAAGATCATAGATGTCCCACCATGGGGTTTGGAAATGGGGCCTTTGGTCCATGGCCAGGTAAGTTTGAGAAATGTTTCCATCTCGAAGATTTACATTGCTTATTTATAAATGAAGGAGTCCAGAAATTTCTGTATATAACAAACTTGTTTAACACTCTTGAACCCATCCTTTCCTGAATAACTGGCACAGAGTTTCCATCAACATCACGTGGCATACTAAGGAACACTGCTTAGGAAACTGTACAGTGTTGGAAATCAGAGATCTTAACCAATGAGAAGAGCCGCCAGTTGGGGTTTTAAATTTAGTGTGTCTCTGCTTCCACCGTTTTAGACAGAGGACAAATGGCTGACTAGAAATGGACCACACAGCTTTCTTGCTTTCCCGTTTCAGCTGTGCGGAGTGGAACTGCATCATCTGCTGTCACATGTTTCAGAGAACAGACTACAGTGTTTTATGTTCAGCTATTTATCATTAACCATCAGTGGAGCTGTCTGGGAAGGGGCAAAAAAGTAAATAAAATAAAATGAAAGATATCAACTGGGGTTCTTGTAAGAGCTGGCTTTGGAGCAGTCAGTGGCTTGTCCCTGTCTTCCAGGCATCATGGTTTCTTGAGAATGTTCACGTTATTACTGGACTGTGAGCTCCTTATACAATTTAGGAATGGAAACTGAGGGCCCAGACAAAGCAATGCGGTTGATGTTAAGATATAAGTACTTTTAATGATAGAGATCATTACTACCAATTGAAGCCTGGAATTTTCTTTTCTTAAAATACGTAATGGGATACACAGAAGAAGTAAAAATGTCACTGAATCTCCTTCTTACCACACTGCAATGTTTATCATCTGTCTCTGAAGTTCACAAAAAATTTTCACCTTTTTCTCTCTTTGTCACATTTTCATCCTCTACTCTCACATAAAAGCCCATCAAATGCTTTCTCCTTTGTCCTTCCTAATTCCTTTTCTTCCTGCCTCCCACTGTGGTCCTTTTGAAAAAAAAAAGAAAAAAAAAGAAGCTGGAGGAGAGACTGGCATGTTCATTTATTACAGACTTCCTAGCAGGAAACTTAAGAAATCAAAGGGGGAAAATATCAAAAATTAACCATAGCCTTTGGTAGTGATTTATCCAAAAGAAAATGAATGAAAACTAGTTTAACAATTATTAGACTGTTATCATCCCTTTAGTCTTGACCTTTTGGTAAGTCCTAAATAAATACCATCCAAATTTGACAGAAGTAACTGCCAAATTCCCACAACTGCAATCTGACAGAAATATCATTCTTACTGGTGTCAAAAAAGTGGCATTTCTTAGCTGGTTAATAAAATAGGGATTATTAAGAAAAGTAAATGTTGAATTATGCCACAAGAGCCTCATCCATATGGCAAGATCTATGAGCTAATTTGCTTGGCAGCTGCTTCACCACCTAGATGAAAATGCCTGTGTCTAGAAGGTTTTTTAAAATGTGGTTAAGCTTAATTTGGTTTGACGTGTATTTTTATAGTTAAAATACAAAATATACTATTAGATACACATTATATATTACTGTTCATAGTATATATCAATATTTATATTGATTGCTTATCCAATGCCTTTTTCTATTGTCTCCCTCCAGGAAGCAAATGACTTGGATAAAAGCACAACAAAGACGGAGAGTGCCTGGCTCTTCAGAATGTGGTACAGCTTTGACCACAAGTATCCTTTTTGGTAAAGATGATCTCCCAGATCCTGCTGCACAGCAGAGGCTAACACCCAGCACTTCACCCACGAGGTACGCACTCCTGCTATTCAAGAAACACAGAAAGGTAAAGCGAATTCATGGCCAAACTTATCAAAAAGAGTGATTTCAAAAACTAAAAAGCTGTGTAATCCATACTTAGGTTTTATAAAGAGCGACAGTGAAATCTCTCAGAGTGAAATGAGTTTGGTGCGTTCATGGCAATCTACTCTTTCCTAATGCCAGGTGATGAAATCATATAGTCCTGAAAAACTGATCTCTTTGACTAATTTTACCATTCGTCCCTTTGTAAAAATCTTACCTCTGGCGGAATTGGCCAGGGTGACAAAGTTCCTTCACCCTTCTCCCAGGAACCTATTTGTATGTTTTTGTTTCAAAGCTGTAAACAATGAAGTGGCTGGAGGGGGTAGAGGAGAGGACGAATGGCCCAAGGAGAAGAATGAGTCTGGTCACCACACTGTAAAATAATCCTACTTTGTTTTCCAGGAAGCCCTTGAGTAAGCTTTTTCTAGTGAAGGGCAATTTTAAAGTTCTAGCAATCAGTGTCAGCACAGTGGCTCGGATACACCTTGCCGTGTGACTCACAGGGCTGCGAAGTCAGGCCTGAAGGGCTTTGCCATTGTGAGCTGCAGTAAGCGGTCCAGCTCTAATCCCAGGCAAAAGTGTCACAGAAGAAAGGAGAGAACTGTGCTGAAAATTGAATGTGTTGGGTCTTTGTAGTTAGTTTTCCACAGTCACAAATCCCTCTCCTTTCAGGGAGAAAATGCCAGTCACTGGGTGATTTGAAAGCAGCTCAGCAATGATTAAAGCTCCATCAGTGGGAGAGGAAGAAGAATTAAGAACAGGGGGAAAGACATTCAAAGAATAAGATAAAGAGGAGGTAAAAGTGGAAAGGGGACAGGAGGCAAGAGAAATATAAGAAATTCACAGCAGGAAGGAAAGGAAAGCAAATTAGAGGAATGACTGTAGGAAAAAAAAAATTAAGTAAGAATGAAGTGAAGCCAGCCAAACATTGCAGAGATAAACGAAAGTAAAACAAGCTTAAAATTAGAAAGCAATTCTGAAAAAGCAGAGCATTCCAAGAAGTATGAAATGGAGACATGGAAGGTAGAGGTGTTTTGAGGCTACAGTTTTGCTTTTCCACACTAGCGTTGTCTATGGACGGATACCTTGCTTCCCTCAATCCTGCGTTTTCACAGGCGTGTAGGTTGCCACCATCTCAAAAGCGGTCCATCGTGGCCATTTACTGCCTCGTGGAGGTTCTGGTACCTCATTAGCCACCCAAAGCCTTCCTAGTCTCTTTGCGGGAAACTGCTTCTTAGCAGGTTATGCTGGTTTATGTTCCAGGTTGGTTTCTCGACTGGAAACACTATTTTCCCCTGCCACTGCTTAAGGTATCTGATGACCAAATCTATAGGAAGTTACAAAAACTTGGCTAAAGGGTACATACAAAGGCTGCTTGGTTATGACAAGATGTACAGTAAGAAACTGTCTTTGGGGGTTCCTGGACCAACTTGTGGAACGGGGGCTTCCCCACAGCCAAGCAATGCACCAGACGCCAGCTCAGTGTCCTAAAATTCAACTCAATCCCTATGCTATATACCTGGAGGAAGTATCAGATCTCACAGGAAAGGGCTCGGTCCCGCAAGACTTCCCCACCACCACCACCCACCCCCCCAGACACCACTCACAGGCCCAGCTTGTTACGCATGCTTCTTACTGACCAGCTACAGGGTGGAGGTTCCCATGACCTTCTCCTTGGGTTTGATTAATTTGCTAGGAAAGTCACAGAATTCAGAGAAATATTTTACTTACTAGATCACTGGTTTATTATAAAAGGATGTAACTCAGGAACAGCCAAGTGGAAGAGGTGCTTGGGGCGAGGTATGGGGAAAGGGCTTGGAGCATCCATGCCCTCCTCAGTGCACCACTGTCCCCAAATCTCCACCTGTTCGCTAACCTGGAAACTCTCCTAAACCCCATCCTTTGGGTTTTTATGGAGGCTTCATTGCATAGGCACAACTGATTAATCATTAATCATTGGTGATTGAATTCCATCTCCAGCCCCTCCCCTCTTCTCCAGAGGTAGGGAGGGCGGAGACTGGTAGTTACAACCTTCTAATCATACACTTCGTTCTCCTGGCAACCAGCCCCCAGCCTAGGGTGGGGTCCAAATGTCATCATTAACATCACAAAGGATGCCTTTGTTGTTTTCGTCAATTAGAAAGTTTCAAGGGGGTTTAGGAGCTCTGTACCAAAGCAGGGGATGAAGACCAAATATGTATTTCTTATTATAAATCACAACATCACAAAATGATAAATCAGAAATTAGGTAAAAAGTATTTTTGTTCAAATTCTGACAGTGTTGTGAGGAATGCTTTACAATGAAGAAAAGGACAAAATGGAAAAAACAACTTGGAGACAAGAAAATTAAAGCGGGAACCCACCCAAATTTTTAGCTCAGAGCAGTGACACTAAATTCAGATGATGTCATCGTTTTTGCCTCACATTTCATCAGGGGGTGATTTCCACATGATTATGGACAGACTAGCAAAAAATGAAAGCAGACTTACCCTCTCTGTAATATCTCTTCTCACGGTAATTTGTCCTCCTGTGCATTCATTCTAAAAATTGCAGGGCTACCGTCACTGCGTAAATACATTTTTCACTTAGACAACAGAGTTTTTATATCCTAGTTATGCTCTGAATTCATACCCAGAGAATAGCAAACCAACCAGTTTCCGCTCTATAACCTCTTGATTTGTCTGTATTTTTAAAGACCAGTTACCCTCTTGGCATTTGTGTTTGTTCTGTTGTCCACCCAGAACTCAGGTGATGTGCCCCACGAGCCCCATGGGCAGACTGTGCCAGTCGCTGTCAGTGTAGGGATGGTTCCCCCCACCCTGGGGTCAGGTTGCCCGGCCGGGGCCGAACAGAAATTGTCGTGAGGCCGAAAGAAATGGATTATGCAGTTTGGAGCTGCTCAAGTTTCATTTTAGTAAAACTGCATCATGCAAATGAGGCATCAGACAGAATTACTGACAAAAGAAAAAGAAGAACAAATAAGCTTTCGTATGCACCTTCATTAGTCAGGATTCTCCAGAGAAACAGAAACAGAACCAGTAAGGGGTACACACGTGCACACACGTACATATATGTATACGTTTACCTAGACATACACACATACATATACCTACATATACACATAGATTTATTTTAAGGAACTGGTGTATGTGATTGTAGGGGTGGCAAGTCCAGAATTTGTAGGGCAGGCTCTCTGTCTAGAAACTCTCAGGCAGGAGCTGAGATGCTGCAATCTTGAGACCAAATTTCTTCTTCCTCAAGTTTTGCTCTTAAGTCCATTTAACTGATAGGATGAGGCCCACTCACATTACTGAGAATTATCTCCTTTACTTAAAGTCAGCTGACTGTAGATGTTATCCACACCTGCAAAATATCCACACAGCAACACCTAGATTAGGGTTTGACTGAATAACTAGGTAGCTTAGTCAAGTTAACACATACAACTAAGCATCACCATACTCCATTCACATTTAATTTATGCCCAAAATTCAGACCCAAAGATAGAAGGATCCTCTTAAATCATCGTTGATATCAGTGAAACAAGCCACTGTTGCTCATATAGTTTTTCTTGCCTTTTTTTTTCACTTTTTCATAATGAACACATATATATTTCCATAATTTTTTTCCAGAAACTACAGAAGAATAAAAAGAATAAAAATTAACATTCCATGAGGATGAACAATGGCCAAGGACTGTATTGAGTACTTTACATTATAATTTCATTTCAGCTCCACAGCTCTGTAGGAGAGTGGGACAGTCTAAGAGAACAATGCAACCCAAATAGACTGCTGATTATGTCAGCCTCCAACAAAACAACCTGAGCTCTCCTGGTCAAGAACGCTGTCGGAAGAGTGTGGTGCCAAAATCGATGATTAATTAAGATTTCATTGTGGCTCCATATGGGCAGCAATTCTGAGTCATGCAGCGCAAAGTAGGAATTGAGAAGGGGGAGATGAGAAATGGAACTCAGTTACTCAGTACCAACACTTTGCCATCGAAAACATTATTTCATTCAATCCTAATAGCGACCCTTTTTGTTTAATTCTCACAAACACTGTCTTTGAGGTGGAAGAAACAAAGTCTTCAAGAACTTAAATAACTCCCTCAAGGTTCCATAGCTAGTGTCAATTCCGTAATTCAAGCCCAGATCTGTCTCACTGTGAAGTTCA